CTAAGAGGGTGTTTGGTAGGGGTTTTCTTAAAGAATAACCAGGCATCAAATATTAGGATTTTATGTTGACCATTTTTGGTTCAAGATTTTTAACAATTTTGGCAGCAAATCAATTTGCCCAGACTTTGAGATTTGTTTGGAAAAAGTGATGACATACACTCTGCCAAAATGTCACTTTGGATGTGGTATTGTAAGATGACCGGCTAAATGGAGAACTGAGAACCAAAAACGTGAGAGAAATACCCTCTCTTATACATCTCTGCAAATCCTTATTTTAACACTGTGCAAAGCCTAATTTCTCCGTTGAAACTGAGATCTCTAAACGGCGAATATTGCAAAGCCTAATTTGGTGTTGGGTTGTCTGCGTATCTTCAATTTTTTTTAATCTCCTAATCACAAAGTATCCTTGCTTCCAGGTTGAGCAACTCCATAGAATTTGTAGGCTATGTGGCACACCATCAGAGGAGTATTGGAGGAGGAGAAATGTACTTTTATTGACATTTAAAAATTAAAAAAGGGTTAATTTCGTAATTTTAATTTATTTTTCTATCAATATTTTATCTTCGTCAAATATAGATTTAAAAAACTTTAACCAATTTTTTTTCGATATTATCATATCCTACCAAATAATTTTTTTTCAACTTTACCATCAAACTTATTTTCCCTCAATTTTCTTGGTAAAATTTTTTCTCTTCTATCAAACACCCTTAGGGGGCGTTTGGTTGAGGAAATTTTTTTGGAATAGTAGGGAAATGTAATAGATAGAGAAATGATTGGAAAGATAGATAAAGTGAGATAGGTAGAAAAATGTAAAAAAAAGTTGTTTGGTGGAGAAAAACTTTACTGAAAAAATTAGGTAACTTTATGAAATCAACAGTGCATTAAAAGCCAGTTAACCGGTTTTCCGAAAAATCCCACCTTCAAATTGGGTTTCTAAACAGTGCGGATATCTATGTTTCTCATAAATCCATACAAATTGGATAGATGAATTTTTGGTGAAAATACGTTGAAACAAACATGATATTTCTAAAAACCATACTTGAGAAACATAGATATCTACTAAAAAGCTCCCAACCAAACCGAACACCGTCTTAAAGAATAACAATGACATTATTCGACGGAGAAAAGGCTACTTGCTTTTGTTATTATTTAATGAAGACATATATAATATAATTTTTAAGTATATGCTTGAATTAATTTATTTTTTAAAAAATAATTACTTTTAATAATTTAATATTACTTTAAAATGTCCTATTTAGAAATTAACTTATAGCAGGTAATCTTTTTATAATAAGATAATTATACTTTAATTGATGTTATTAATAATTTCATATAATTTGAAAATCGTCTCTCTCTTAATCAAAGTTATTAAAACTGGCCCGCTCATTGACCCGGTCGAGGTACTGAGTCATTGGATCACTGGTTCAAGCAGTGAGTCACTGGTTCAACCGCATAACCCGATAATTATATGCAATTTTATAATTTATATTAAAAAATTATAAATATACTAAAATATCTAAAAAAAATATAAAAATTTCAAATATTTTAATATAAAAAATAATAAATCACACATTATTATCGAACAAATGATCAAATAAAAATATAATAATCGTGATACGAGACTTTGGGTTCAGAAAATGACATCTCTAAGTATAAGTCAAATCAAGATTTTTTGCATAGTGCATAATTGAGATAATATTAGTGTTATAGGTATATAACTTATTTATGTCAATAAGTAAAAAAAATTCAAATATATCCATTATGATTATTTTTTTGAAAAAAAATATTTGAATTTTTTTTTTGTGGGACCGGGTCGGGTCACTTGTTAACCGACCGGGTCACCGATTTTCATGAAAATTGACTGGGTCAGACCGAGTCGCACCGATTCTCGTGCATGGTCAATTCATTGTTTCAACCAGACTAATTATATGATCAATTTATTGGTTCTCGAATTGAACCGGTCCGGTCAGTCCAATTTTATTAACCGTGCTCTTAACATTCCTCGCTGCATATAACCACTTACTGTATTACATCCACACTTTCCTGCAAAACCTTTAGCTACTTGCAAGTTGCAACCATCCTCTACATATACAAGTTTTTATCAATTGGGTTGGAAATCTCATGTTGGACCACGCATATACAAAAATAAATATATGTATATTTTATGGGAAATACGATTCTTTTGTTATAAGAAAATAATATTTCTTACTGAGAGAAAAAATCAAAAGAGAGAAAAGAAAATAAAGTGAAAGAAAATATTTGACATGGAATTCATCCTATTCCCCTGTCCGGAATACTGTTTTCTTTTCCTATGGGAGGAGGAGGAGAACTTCATCTCCTATATTTTATTGATTATCAAGCAAAAATTATTTATATTTTTAACTCTGACAAATTTGTTATGGACGTGCAATTATTAAAATACTTACAGAATGAATTATAAAAGCAAAAATTGTGTGCGGGGGTGTATTTTGTGATTTCGAACACGCAAATTGTGTATGTTAAAATTGACAAATCATTACTTCATTAAAATAATAATAAATTGGTTTATTTATAATTTTTTGTATATTTAATCTGCATAATATATATCGTTAATGATGTTACGTTTGACTTTTCAGTCTTTCTCAAATCTATATAAATTATTTGCGAATTTGCATCTCTAACATCAGGAGGAGGAGAAAAAAAAGTAGAATTTGCATCTCATTCCGTGTGTCTTTTACTCTAAAACGTAAAAAAATTGTCATTATGCATAGAATTCGCTTGCATGAACTTTTAAAATATATGATTTAATATTGTCATACGAGATAATTTATCTCTATTTTTAAAAATATTAAAATAACATTGTTTTGAAGTAATATAATATTTTAATATTGTGTAATGTGAAAGATAATATTTAGAACATGACTATTATGAATAATCAATATTATAAAATTTAATATCTAATAAATCATCCATGCTTGGATGATATGAGGTAATATATTAAACTTCTTATATTTTTATCATAAATAATTATTACATTACTATGATATATATATATATATATATATATATATATATATATATATATATATATATATATATATATATATGATCATAACCATATAATTTTATCTCAAATAGATTGAGATAATTTTATCTCCGGTTACTAAATCATAACCATACAAAGATGGATCAATGGTGATAAAGGAAAAAAGAGAAAAAAAGAATCATAATCATTCAAAGGTGAATAAATTAATATAAGCAAATAAATAAACAAAACGACGTAGTTTCGAAGTGACCGGAAATAAACTTATCTTAAGTTGCCGGAGAAATATTTTTCTCAATATATATATATATATATATATATATATATATATATATATATATAATATTTTTATAGTCAACTTCAACTATTCAATTATTCAAAAACAAGAGGAAAACATGAACAAATAGAAAAGTTATCATTGATTCATCACATTTTTAAGCAAACATTACTTCATTTTCATTATAAATATATATGATTATCATTGATATTCGACTATAACAAATTTCTACATTATAAATTAGGAAAATGTTATACTTATTTTCTTTTTTTCTTACTATCTCTTAGTAGTAAATCATAATCGTTGATTTCCGTCAATCGAACGGTTATGATTTATTAAAAATTAATAATTAATTAATAAGTGTGACCCAATATATTATAGGAGAAGAATATTGTAACAACCAAGTTGCGTTACTACCATGTTACTACCAATCAATCTCACCGTTCGATCGATTATATTGATCCAACGGTTATATTTATTTCCATCTTTGTATAGTCATGATTTCCTAAATTTAATATTTTATATTTATTTCCACCTTTATATGGTTATGATTTCTCATATTTAATACTTTCACTTTAAATTTGAGAAATAATGACCATACAAAGATAGAAATAAATATAACTGTTGGATCAACATAATCGATCTAATGATGAGATTGATTGGTAGTAACATGGTAGTAATATAACTTGGTGGTTACAATATCCTTCCCCTATATTATAACCGTTAGATTGACAGAAATCAACAGTTAAAATTTGATAGTAAAAAGTAATAAAAAAAATAATAAATATAACCTCCCCTATAAATTACGGCTTCCTATAAAAATTGAATGGAAAATATAGGAAACCATAAACATGCAATGCATCACCTTTTAAACTACAACGAACATAGTGATTTCGAGTTAAACAATAACTAAATATCATTTACCCTAATAAAATAAGGAAAAAGCATTTTTTGTGATCTTTCAATTTACATGCAAAGCATTTTTTTTAATAAGTATGAGACTCACTATTATTTGAGGCCAAAATGAGAAAACATTTTTTTGAGATATTCCAATTGATTCATCGCTTTGTGCTAATTCGATTCGAGTCTATCGCAAAATTAAAATTTTAAACCCCTCCCAAAGACAATAATAAAAAAGATCGAATATATACTTTTATCCCATGAAATAAAGTCTTAATGAATACGTGGTGGCCAAAAGCTACAACATATATTTATGAAAAGAAAGGTTTACACTCTACATGTACAATATGCATAAAAAATTGTGAAAGCATAGAAGAACGTAGAATATGAATTAATGGGAGAGGAATTAATATTTGAAAGGAGAATAGCTTGTTGTGCAAGTAGTAGGAAAGCCCGCTTTTTATCGGTTTGTCTGTTTTAGTGAGTCTATTAGAGGACATGGCGATCCATATTCCATTGTACTCTTTTGCTCCGCTCAACTTTTCACAAACAACACCCACACGACACAAAGCAAGAGATAACCGATTGAAGCGAGCAAGAAAGAAAGAAAGAAAGAAAGAAAGAAAGAAAGAAAGAAACCCTAATGTTGGAACGTAACATTTGATCTGACTCTCGAAATTTTCCTTCACCTTCCTTCGTTTTCTTTCGTTTTCATTCCATCGTTCATTTTGTTTTTCCCTGAGTGATCGCGAATCTTCCTCCGCCTCCAATTTGATTTTCGAAAAACCGTTTCCACACTACATGGCGAGTGAATCCGGCATGATAGGTCCTTCAACTCCGTCGTCGAATTCCGTGGAGTCCTACATTGGTTCCTTCATCAGCTTGATTTCCAAGTGCGAAATTCGCTACGAAGGTGTTCTCTATTTCCTTAACTTCCAGGATTCCACCATTGGCTTGCAGAACGGTACGTTGACGTAACATCGCGTTTTGTTAAATGTGCAACGCAAGAATCGTATATTTCATTTTTGCCATTTTAAATGATGCTGCGGTACTTTGTTTGAGTAATGTGGATGATTTAGAGCTTCGTTTTCTGACGCTGGCTTTGATAGGACGAGAAATGTTTGATTGGTGGTTTTGATTAGAGATAGTTAATGCCTGTTTGATGATAAATTACTAGCTTTACTGTGATAGTAAGATGTTATTTGGATTGAAAAAAAAAATTGATTAGAGCAATCATGGCTATTCTGTTTGTTAAAATGAAATAATCAGATGCTTAAAGTTTTAGCCAAGAGGAATGCCATTGAGTAAGTTTGGGTGGAGATTGGAAATTGAACTCAAGATAATACAGAATCTGCTACTTCAGACTTAGGAAACTGAGCATGTTGGTGATGCTGTTTGGAATTTGGAATTACTTGGAAATGGATGTGCTTAGGTTATTAGTATTGGCTGTATGCCTAGAATACTGATGATGGATGGAGATTGAAGAATTAATAGGTTGACGATAACATGATTTTATACTTTTTCTTCAATTTGTAATGGGAGCAACTGTCATTGTCCTAGGACGGCAATGTACAACTTATTCATGTTAACTCATACTTCTGCCTTTTGACAATTTGACCTTGGTGAATTGAATTGTATTAATTTTTAGACTGATGGTATTTATCAACTTGTCTGCACGCTGCTCCTTCCTTTGTAGTGGATGCATGCTTGAATTTCCACCTCTATTCATTTTGTAAACTTAGAAGGATAGGGGCCTATGTTGATTTCTTTACATTACGGAAAACATGGTTTCTTGTCTTGATAAACTTTACTTAACCATTCCCCCTTCTGTTTCTCTCTTTCCACTTGTGTTGATCAAATTTTGCCCTCGCCAGAAAAAATACCATATTTGAAATCATGATTACAGATGTATGTATAATCACCTCATGGGCAACTGGGCATTTGTATATATCGGCAGGATTTTGCAATTGAATTGGATAGCCGAGTTATAAGCTATTGATAGTTTGTTTTGATTTAATAGGCATTAATGCAAATATCCTATAGTATGAGCATCCTTGTCTGCATGAGGTGATTTCTTGTTTGAAATATATATACTTAAAATCTTATTTTTATTTACACATGGGATTGAAATTGATATTAGATATTTTGTAACTTTAAGTTGGGTTTATTATGTGGCAGTCCTAGTCCTTGTCTCATTCTCCTGAAAGTTGTAGTTGTTTAATGTGAAAGTTTCTTTCTAACATGCGAATCCTTGTAATATGAGATTACAGTTAGTTCCTACGGAACGGAGGGAAGAAGAAAAGATGGTCCACAAGTTCCTCCAAGTGATAAAGTTTATGAATACATTCTTTTCAGAGGAAATGACATTAAGGTAACTCTGCATTTTTTGATTGATTTGCAATCTGCTTCTAAGAGAAAGAAGCATAAGGTGGAATGTTTCTAATTTATTGCTGGAAAGTTTCTCACCCCACCTAGTGGAATAAGGTTTGTTTGATGTTGTTGTATTGCTGCGAATTGTCTTGGTTTTGGGGTTCTAAAATGTCATTCTAATTTATGAATAATTTGTGATCGGGGCTTTAATGTTTTTCCTTGTCCTTTTATTCATTCATCAGCTAGGTTTTGTGAATCATTATCTTTTATAGAATAGAAGAAGTTTCCGATGACGTGCATTGTTTTCAATTGAAATATTGCTCAAACTTAAAGTTGTGTGTGTAATTGATGGATTTTGGATTCCTTCAATTTATCGGATCTTTCTTTTCTCCTCTTTAGGTTGATCATATTCTTTTTGGTCAGTGATGTTCCATATAAAACCCTCTTCAAAAAGATTGTTTTTGCTTTCCTCTCACTTGTTCTTGTTAAACACTCATCTTCTGGGTTTCAAACTAGTGGCTTACTTGGCATCTTTGTTCTTACTGGTTGATGGCTACTCAAAAGTTTGTTGGGAAATTATAATGAAATTCTACCAATGAAAGCCTGCTGAATGAAGGTTTGATCAATTGATTGGTCAAATCCCTCTTTTGAGTTTTGCTAGACATATAAATTCTACTACAATGGATAAAGGTTGAGTTCTATCGGAGTGGAGTTTTAAGAATTGAAGAATAAATAAATCTATTTTGAAAGTATAGAATAATTAAGACTAAAGCCAAATGAACTGAAGCCACTAGGATTGGTCTAGTGGTGAGGGGTTTGGGTAGATTGTAAAGGTTATGTGTTTAATTCCCATTTGTATCCACACAAAAAAAAAGAAAAATGAACTGCACTCCATGAAACGGCCATCTGAAATTGCGGACTTATTTTACCTCTAATGAATCTAATTGTAGGGTGGATATCTGATCAATAGCAGTGAAGCTGCCATTTGGTCATAAGAAGTTGTGCTGTATACATGCCAACTATACTTATCTAAGCTGTGTATTTTACCATTTCAGAATTTGCAGATCAAGCCCTCCTCCACATTTGCCAAAGAACCAGAGCAGATTTTTAGTGATCCAGCTATTATTCAGGTACTTAATGTTTAAGGACAATACATCATCAACATCCTTTTTTTTAAGGACAGTAAAAAAATAAATAAAAAATCATATTTCGGAACACATCTAGTTATCAATGTATTTGTTACTTGTTTTAAATCGTTTGTCTTTTTTCCTTTACAGTCACAATATTCTGGGGTATCAAGTTCTCCTGCGTCCTTTGTTGGTGGGAGAAGTTTGACAGAATCAACTCAAAGGCAAGATACGCCTGCTTTGTCCAGTAAAGCCCTTCCTGTTGGGTTGCCTTCTCATCAATCTGTAACTCAGCTGGGCTCTTCAAATCACATTGCTGCTACTCAAGTTGCTAGTCATCCATATTTTTCTACAGCTATGTATTGGCAAGGACAATGTGGGACATCAAGCAACAGCTCTCATTCTTTGCCACAATCTAGTTCTCTTCAATCCCCATCAGTGGTATCACCCTTAGCAAGTCAGAATCGGATGCAAACTGCAGAAACTCAGGCACCTACAAAAGTGGGATGGACAACTTTATCAGAGTGTGGTCTACCTGTATCTTCCCCTACTGCTTCTTCTCTTGTAAATCTGACTGGTTCACCTTTTCCTACCTCTTTACCAATTTCCAATCCTTTTGATACTCCATCCCTTTTGTCTACTAAGACACCTATGCCATATTCTGCATCCATGACTTTTGATGGATCAAACATGCCTTCGTTTTCTTTACCTCTCCAAGACCTTAGTTCTATTGAAGGTCAAATATCTGGAAAAATTTGTCCTGACCCAAGACCACTTTATGCTGGACATTCCGACGTTCATCCTGCTTCTTCATTTGTAGATTCTACTTCAGTTCCCTTGCCAACACCTCCATCTTTTTCGACTCTAGATCAATTTGTACACCGTGGAGAACAGTTGTTTTCTTTAACACCGAATTTGACCCCTAATAGGAAGGATGTGGGTTCTCTGACTCCAGCATCTTGTGGTTCCTCTGTATTAATGCCTTCTCCAGCATCTAGAGCACCATTACTACCACTACCAACTTCTGTACACAAGGTTAGAAAATTTCCCCTTGTTCTTTTTGGGGGTGGTGCAGGTGGGGTAGGGTGAAGAAAGATATTAGGGTTCATTATATTATTGTATGGCTTCTCATTACCTGTCTATTTTATAAATCACAATTGCATGCAAATAGTTGTATGCAATGAGTTTCTTAATACTGACTGTATGTTTAAAAAATAGTTTAATTTTATCTAGAATAGATCAACCTCACATGCTTTTCTGTTCATTTGTAATTTTAATGTTGTTTGGATTGAACTGAAGATCTTCAAGGATGTGTGGACAATTAGAGATAAATTCTTCCTATTAAACCTGCAATCCTGCTTTTGTGAGGGATGGAAAAAATGAAATTAAATAAAGAGATTGTTAACATTGAATGTCTTACTCAAATACCAAATTAACATTCTAACATGGCTCTGCTTAGTGGGTAGTGCTTGTGAGATTTTACAAAACTTTTTCATTGTTCACTGGTCATGAGTTAATGAAAAATCTTGCTCAAAATACCAATTGCTGAAGTTGTCACAAGTGTTAAAATTTTAGCAGGAGTCTGATTGGTTTGTGAAGAATGCTTCCTTTAATGTGTAGAAGAATATTTATTGTTTCCCAAATCCCGTTTTGAAGCTACAATTTTTTTTTTGTCAAATTGAGAATAAAAATAGGTATGTTAGCTAAAATTTTGTGGGTTGCATGCATCTTACATATTTTGTTGGGGTTTCACATGTGTTATTCACCTATCATGACAAAATAATACAGATAACTTTGGTATTTACTAATTTACATCTCACTATTTTTGGCCAACTAATAAATTAGAGCCATAAAATGCAAGTAGACCAACATTTAAGGTTGGATGTAAGATTTTCTATTTTTACACGTGTAAGTTGATCATTTACCTCTTTTAATTATTATTACATGGATAAGTATTTGATAGGGCCCAAGTGTTGTTACTTGTTAGTCGGAATAGTTACTTAGTTAGTTATAGCAGATACGGAGCTAAAGTTGTAGAGAGAGGAAATTGGATTAAATACGAGAAAAGGGTAGAAGAGTGGCCATTCTGATTTCTTACCATTTGAAAACTGAGCATTAGCTCTTTTGTTGAAAGGAGAAACCCTTGGAACGAGGATTCTCCTTTGTTCTTTGCTTGTAATTCAATACTACCAAAGTATTCTTTCTCACTTCTTTTCTCTGTTTTTCTCATCTCTTTTTCTCTCTGTAAACTCAGAACCCATTTCAGGCTTCCTAACAGTATTTAATTTTAGTATTTATTTATTTATTGATTGATTAATATGTGTATAAATTTCTAGTATTGATGTATTGTTGATTTTTGCAGCCTCAATGCTCAGCTTCACAGTTCACTGAAGAGTTTGATTTTGAGGCCATGAATGAAAAGTTCAAAAAGGATGAAGTATGGGGTTCTCTTGGAAAGGCAACCACAAAAATAGTAGGAGCAGAGGATAATGCTTCTCCTCTCAGTTTGGGCGACAACGAATGTCATGGGATGATACCAAACCCTAAGGTAGGACTTGGTATGTTTCCATTTGATAAAAATTTCCTCCGCTTGGTTTGTTGAAAAACAAGGGGAATGATCCGTTTACAAACTTTTTTGATAAATTTTTACAAATTACACTATCTTTTCCCGGGAGAACATAGTGTAGTTTGTAAGAGTTTGTAAACAAAAAAGTTTGTAAATATAACCTGCCCCGTAAAACAAAGACATAAGTTGTGAGGCATGTGGTTTTTGGCAGTGTTTGAACTTGAATGAACTTCTATTGTTGCTTTTGATTGCAGTCTGCATACGAGAAAGATGACTTTTTTGACACAATTTCTTGTAACTCTATGACTCGTGGAGTGAGGAATGGACGAAATCGTTTATCTGAGAGAATGAGACTGGATACTGAGGTCTGCAAACACATTAATAACTGAAATTGTTCAGTATGAAATTATCCTAAAACTACAATGTAATATTGATGTATTGTTTATCTGTTTCCTTTTCAGACATTTGGCATTTTCCAACAGAGGCCGAATGTTGGTTATGGTGGCTATGGTGCTGGACGGGGTGAGAATTTCAGGGGCTCATATAATTGGGGAAGGGGTTATGGCTATGGTAGGAGAGGGCGTGGCCCAAACTTTCCTTTCTAGTTATGGCTATCGACATTTTCTGTTGATCTCCTGTCCGCCAAAGCTCCCCGTTAATTTTGCCTATGCCCTTTGTATGTTCTTGGGCTTTATGTCAATGATGTTAACATGTTTTTGGAACTTTAATGTCCGGATGCTGGGATGTCAAACTTTCATGCCTAGTGGTCTGACGTCTACTTTCAAGTAATTACTGTCTATCTAGGAATCAGTAGCCTGAGGAACTCCTTACTCTTTTGCTCCCCTCTTAAAAAAATGATATATTTTCCTTTTTCCAATTTTTGGTCGTACATATCCATTGGTCAGTAGTTCAAGGTCACATTTCAAAATACCTCCTATGGTGATGTTTCTTCCGTAAAATTTTGGGAATCCCACGTTTTCTGAACTTAATTTTTGGTTATTTATTTTTCTAGCGTTTTAAAGTGGGCCTATATTTGTATTTTCCGCTCTTCGATATCTTCAGTAATTCTTTTGAAATGTCATTGATTTTATGACGCATTAAATTAGGGTATTGTTATTTTTCTAATTAATTTGTACATTCCCCAATTACGACCGCTGGTGTTATTGCCCTTATATTTTTTAGTAATTTTATTTTGTCTTATCTAGATTTTTTTTTTGTTTTTTTTTTTTGTAAATTGTCTTATCTAGATTTACTTTGTAAGCAACGATGGTCAGGTTTCCTTGTCACCGTAAGTCGGCGTCTACTATTTTGTAATTAATTTTTTTCCTTTTTCTTTTCATATATAGTGAATTCGGGGCATTAGAGTACGTGATGATCTTTTTTTTTTTTTTTTTATCTTAATTGAAAACAGTGGATTAGGCGGCGACAGTGTTCACGGTTATTGGAGCGGGATGGTGGGCCGGTGGGACCTCATGTAAGGCCCAGTCTGTTTTTGACTTTTTGGCATATTACTACACCTGATCCGATATTGGATTAAAAATAAAATTGCTACCTAATCGATATTCTCTCCAATAGTATCTTTCCCTAAGCAGACGGGGGGACGCGGGCGGGCCGGGGCTGAAATTTTCTTTATTCCATTGAGAACTTTTTTTTTTTTTTTTTTTGGAGTTACCCAACCTTAATTACCTCTTTGAGGCGAGTTGGCTCCCTCCGGTATCCCCACAAGCTTCGACTCTTTGAGCCGGCTATGAGACTAATCCGGAGAATTCCATTGAGAACTTTAAACGAGTGTAAAATATGGATTTTTTTAAGCTGATAATCGTTAGATTAGAGCCGTGATCATTTGCTTTTGGGAAAGTTTGTTGAATAAGAGCAAGCATTGGAGTCTAAATTGTGTCCGGCAGACTTGAAATATGACTGCAAATATTTCTGCATAGAAAAAAGGTAGTCAATTTTAATGTGATCTCATAATTGAGAATTGAATTTTGTTCTTGAAATGCTGAATAGGACCCGGCATCCTTCAGGAAAGAAATATGATCTAGCCTAGTTTGGAGAATCGTGTCTTTTTTTCTGGCAAAATTATCATTCCTTGCGTGGCGTGCAACTCGTAGTATTATTTAAAATTCAATAAACAATTATTAATCTATGCAGGTGGGGATACAAGATGAGTTACTATATGCGGCAGTCACTACCTTGCGTGGTCTGCCACTTGTAGAATTATTTAAAATTAAATAAAACGATGAATGCAACTGGCAGTTGAAAAATATAAATATAAAACAAAAATAAACAATTATCAATCTATGCATGTTTACAAATGAAGTGTCTCTTTCGTTTGGTGTAAGTCAAAAAATAAAGTTATTCCTTGGGACATTGGATAAGCAAGTTAATGAATTTTAGTTGCCACTGGCACCTCCTTTTACTTAACAAACTCTTGAAATTTAGTATTCCTTTGGAAGCCTCTTTCTGGAACCGGTCTGGGATCTTTCCCTCAGCATAGTAAGGCTTCTTTCTAGGTGTAGTTGATAGTCTTCAACCATTATATAGCATATTAATTTGCATCAAAATGAATGACTCTGTTTTCATCTTACCGTATGTTTTTTTAAGTAAATATCTCAATGGTGTCACCCCTTTTGAGCGTGTATTTTGCGACCCTGTTCTGCTTGATTGGTCTTTATTGTTGACAAAGCTGAACCAATTACCGAACCTACTGTAACTATAACCAAGATGGCTGAGCCGGCATAAGTCCCCCTTTTGACTAGGTAGCACTCCCCATTCAACCACCCCACCCCATACGGCTGCATCTTGCTCATGCTTGTTGCTGTGATTAATAAAATAACTGCAATTCCAAAGCTAAGCCTGCCAAGCATGACCATTTCCAATCTTACACTTATTATGTTTAGTCTATTTCAAAGGAAAAAAAATATAATCTCTAGATTTATTATGTTTTCTTATAAGGAAAAATGTTTCTTATTTGAGACAGATCAGCTGACCCTTGTTTATTCCACCCTATCTCTCTTTTCTAGCCATGTGGTCTCTCCCTCCAAAAATAAAATAAAAAAAGATTCAACTTGCCAACCTGTGGCCAATAATGACAAGCCACATGGCATGGCACACAGTTGCATTAAAAATATTATTTCATGGTCGAAACCAATACATACCAGAAGAAAAAAAAATCGGTTTGACAACTAGATTGGATGGTGGTGTGTCCACTTTCTAGGACTTTGTTGGACAAATCAGACTTGTTATTAGAGAAAATATGTCAATTCTAACATGTGAATAATGATCATGTACAAATCAATAATTAAGCAATCTGGTTTGTTTTCAGCAATCTGTTATTGTTAAATGTGAAGTAACAACTAAAAAAACAGATATGCAAAAGATTGATGACCTACCAAGAGATCAAAAGCAGAAGCTTTGCAAGGACAGGTATCTTATACTGTGCGTTTCTTTTCCTTCCTGAACAAGAATTCTTGAATAATATACAATTCCCAATGATCTGGGCCAAAATGAAACTAACCAAAGCTGCAATACCCAATCCAAATGCTTGGCTTGATGGCAAATAACATAGTTTTCCATTCCATCTGAGATCCTCCTTCTGCAACACAAATAATGCATCAAAACTAAATTTTTTATTTTTTTTTATAATAAAAAGGGCAAAAACTCATGACTACAAAAGACTTAATAAATTCAAGTGAAGGACTCATTATGCACTACCTTGTTCCTCTTAATCTCGGAGGTTATACACAAGATAAAGGAAACTAAGCCAAGCGAGAGGGAGATAATGATGGAGAAGATCACTGTGAATTTCCACCTAGGAGGACTTTCCATGATGGGGTGGTGGTTTCTGTGAAGATACTTGAGAAGAGAGAATAGAGAAAAAAGTCTTGGAAGTTACTCAATAAACAGAAAGATGACTTGGTTGTGCCTTGAAGGTGTTGGCCATCTCCCTCTTGTTTGAGTTCCTTCCTTTGTAGTGGTTGAGACTTCCTTCCCAATATGTCTAATTGTTTTGAGGGAGATACCATTCCTAACTGCATGTAGAAACAGCTAAAACTTTTCCATTTGATTTGGAGCTGGTCAACCTCTTCCTGCAAATGGTTCTCTTACAAGGACAGAGATAAAAGCTCAAGTATGAGAATCTCCCAAAACAAGTGACAAAAAATAACCACAATAGTCATTAATTATTGTATATATAACACATTAACAACGGTTATCTGTCAAGAATGGTCAATTTATTACAATGATTATGCTAATCTCCTTTATTTATATTAATAAGTATATATTATTACTTGCCACTTTTATAGGGTAGGCTTCTATTCTATCGGTTCATGCGGTGAAGGCTCTTTTTATGCCACTTCTCATGACATAAGAAAAGAAAAGAAAAGTCTATATTCTCACGTTTCAACCCAATGTGACAAAAGAAGCCTCTTTGTGAAGTTTCGGTGGGGCCATTGACACAAGTTGGAAAACTAAAAACAAAGGTGCCAGAGGTGGTGCTATTACGTTGTAGATTGGCATTACCCTTTCGTGATTTGAGGTTCTTTCGCTGATGTTTCCTCAAATTTTCACTCTTTTTTAATAGATCAGATTCGATTCCATTGAAAGACATGTGGGCTTGGGAGAAAGTTTCATCATCGGCGTCTAAATATTCTTCATATTGTAAGTTCCGTTTAAATTTGACTTGGATTTGTTTAATTGTTCAAACCCAATTCCCAAATCGAAGTGCTTTGAAGTGCTAACGGATTGCAATGTTAAAAAATTGTAGCTTTCTTCGCTTTTGAGAATTGCAGATTTAAATATTCAACAAGCCATGCAATTGGGTACTGGAAGAATATTAATTTATAGCTTCTTTTTCTTCCTTGTTCATCTGGGTCACGTTGTGCTTCCCTTCTTCAGTCACCTTCCCTGAAAGAAAGAAAACGAATTCAAAATGTTTTGTTGTTGATAACTATTGAAGGGGTATCAACTAGTACTACTACTACTATTCAATTTGTAAGAGCCATATCAAATTTCAGTGATAGTGGCCCCTCACCAATCACCAATCACCAATCACCACTCACCAGAAACAGATAAGGATACTTTTTCTGTGAGTGCTACCCAGTTAGGATCGCTTGCCTTATTTGTTTATTGTAATTTCAAAGGTGAAAAAACTGTTCCCATTACTTCTGGTTGGTAATTAACGACCCATTTTTATTATTTTTTTAATTTTTAATGAAGATTATAAATTTGCATTTCCGAGAATGTCTTTAACACTTTATAAATTATTGAGGTTTTGGAGCTTAGCTTTTACAACATGAGAAGAATATCTTATTCTAGTGAGCAGCTAATTACACTTCACACGAACATTTGGTTTGGGAACTTTGTCTTGTTTGATCTGGAGTGCTTAAAGAGGTGCGAGTTCCTCTTTGTTGATAAGGTGTCTGTCTCATTGTGTTGGGAACTGTCACCCAAGGAATGACAGATTGCCATTATGCCATGAAAGACATTTGGAGAATCAGAATTAATGTAAACCAAAGGACAATATTATATGCATACAACATAGTTATGGGCTACTAACTAGTGTAGCTGGGGAGGAATATTGTATATGCATTCTCCGTTAAATGTTGAGGTAATGTTTGTTTTCTTTTGATTTAAGTCCCTCAGCTCCTCCAAGGAGATGCTATTGTGAAGTAGTTTCTTTATGCTGAGAGTATGAACTCAAGTATCATGCTACTTTACTTTTTCTGACTGTTGTTGGTTTTGTGCGGCAACAATTCTGGGTTACGGAAAATAAAAGGTCACAGGTTCGAATCCGAGAAATATTTTTTTTGCAAATATGCAAAGGTAATGCTGTGTACAAGGATTGCCCTAACCTCTACCCTCGTTGGTCGGGTTTAACGGGGAGTGGTTTTTTTATGTCCAATTGGATATGAATGAAAAATAAGTGCTCATCTGAAGGGCCTATCCTGGATATTGAGAACTGTAGGATAAATTTTGGAAAAATGAATATATATCCTGATGATGACATCTCCTATCCTCCTGCCGGTGTCTGCATATTATGAGTAATTCTTTCATACTCCTGATGCATTACTCCTCTTACAATCTAAATTTTACTTTTAAGTTACTATGGTGGCACAGATTCAATTTCTGCGACACACCATATTTTCACTGGCTCATAGTATTACTTTGAGCGAGTAAATTTCATGCAGATTAAGGTGGGCAATCTTGGGAGTCGTTTGCTTTTTCTGTACGTCAATGAAGATTTGATTTCATGTTTTTAACAAGCTTTAAACTAAAACATTAGGATTCGCTATAAATAAATGATATGATGGACAGGGTTGTTATTTGTGTCATTGAAAATTTCCTAATTCCCCTTTTGTTATGTCATTCATGGTTACATTTTTATCTGATATATAGGAGTCAAAAATATATCCAGTGTTATGTGAGGACGTGAAGGTCGTCTCTGGATCACCTTTCCATTCATTGAAAGGGAGTCCAATCTAAATTCAAAGTGACTGTTAAAGCTTTAAAGGTGTAAACTAGAACACTGTTATGGCCAAGAAAAAAACTAGAGTACTGCTACTCTTTATGAATTATTAAACAGCTCTCATAAAATTATTGCAATTTTCAGTTTTTTTTTTTTGTTTTGTTTTGAAATACTGTATTATTTGAATAAGGCCTTACTGCTCAATGCTATACCATTGGAGCTACAAAAACAGCAACAGATTATTTTTTATCAAATCTACTCCTTTTCCTTCTAAGAACATCCAGAACAGATTGTGCTGTGCAATAAGCAATTGCTTGAACAGTAATCATTGGATTGACACCCAAAGCTGTGGGGAAGACACTTGCATCTGCCACATAGAGGTCCTCCACTTCCCATGTCTCCCCTCTCTGATTCACCACTGATTCCTTTGGATTAGTGCCCATCCTACAGCTCCCCATCTGATGTGCTGAGCACAATGGTGTTGAAAGGTCTGTTAATGACCTTGAACTTTCCTCCTTAACAAATTTCTCAAATTCATAATAGCTCACCTGCTTTACATTTAAGGTCCTTCCCTTACTATGATGAGTCCCTATTTCTTCAGCTCCAGCTGCTGCCAGAATTCTTAGCACCTTATCAATTCCCTTCCTTAAATTTTCTTCATCTATATCTTCCAGCTTGTAACTGATGCAGTCTGGTGAAGTCACAGTCCCTGATCCTTTATCCCTTCCCAGTGCAAATATATGAGCTGTTCTAGAAAACTTTCGCATTCGATCTTTTATATCAGGTCCAGAAACCCATGGCATGAGAATGGAGAACATACCAGGATGCAATGCAGGTGTTTGGATCACTGCACCATATCCAGATTTCTCAAATTCTGCAACAACAGGAGACATTGCTGTCATTATCCCTCCTTCGTAGCTCTTTTTCCGTGCTTCTGGCCACACCTCAGATGCAGGTGCATCTGGGAAGTAGCCCCAAGCCATTGTCACTGGATGAAGATGCAAGTGTCTCCCTATGTTCTTATTCTTCAAACCACTTCTTTTAAGTAATGCTGGAGTACTGAGTGCTCCACATGCTACAATTGTAACCTTGGATTCCACCACACAAATGTCTTTAGTTCCTTTGTATTCAAATTCAAAAGCCACTCCACGTGCAATCTTTCTGTCTCTTCCTCTCTTGTTCTTATGTAAGACTTTTATTGCCTCACAACCTGGAAGAATTACTCCATTGCCAGATTTCACCAAGTCCACCAACCATGTTTCTGAGGTACCCTTCTTCCTTCCATCCTTACATCCCAAACAACACCAACCACAGTAGTGGTCTGGTGGAGAATTGCGAGGAATGTTACTCACAGGATATCCCATTTCTTGACACCCTCTTCTAAGGATTGCATTGTTGAATCCTTCATCTTCAATCTCAGACTGAACTCCCATTTCCTGACAGACAACATCCATGGCTTCTTTATATAATTGACTCTCAAATAACTCAAGCCCATGATCACACCACTCCTTGCATACATGCTCAGGGGTTTTAATGCAAGCAGACCAGTTTATTGAAGACCCTCCACCAACAGTGGATCCTGATAGTATGCACACACCCATATCATCAGTTGCAACCAAACCACTATTGAGGTACATTTGATCCATGGTTGGTCCTTCAAGAAGGGAAAGATTGTTCCTTGCAGAATAGCCTCCTTTTTCCAAGACCAGCACTTTGTAACCAGCTTTTGCAAGAACACCAGCTACTACACCACCTCCTGAGCCAGAACCAACAACCACTGCATCACATTGGATAACTAAAGAAGGAGATGACAAGTTAGCAGCAACTTTAGGCTTTCTACGAATGACAGAGACAGGGAATCCAAATCTTCTTAGTGCATCTGCACTGATGTCTCGTGGATTATTCAGATGGACAAGTCCTTTGTAAAGAGGTCCTATGACCTCTTCAGCATCATCATCTTCCTTAAGCTCTTGTCCTCCTTTAGATGTTCCATGTAAAAAATGGTTCTTTAACTGAGCTTTGAATTCTGGATCAGGTCCACAGTATCCAATTGCCTTCCATGAAGGGTTGTCTTCTGATTCATCTATCTGAAATTAGGTGTCCTGCCATTATTAGTACAAGGTTCCAAGCTACCAGAAAATCATACACATTCAATTTTTATGACTTAACTATACATAATATGTGCTCTTATAATTGTGCCATTGTCTCGTTTCTTAATATAACAATAACTAATGATTGAATTTGATAGGGTCATTTCTTTGAATTTGAACCTCACCCGGTCATGATACAACTAATGATTGAACCAGGATTAAGTGAACCTAATAATTTAATAAAAAGTATAAATTATAAGAAATTATTTATAATTGTAAGATTTGTATGCATAATTAATTTAATTATAATTTACAAAATTATAACGTAAATAAATAAATTTCAGAGAAAATAATTTGAGAACACAAGTAGTTGAGATTAGGAAAATTTTAAAATAATTATTTTAAGAGTATAAACAAATGAGATTTGAAAAGAAAATTAGATATAAAAAGAGAAATTTAAAAATAATTAATAATTTGGAAATTTTTACTAAGCAATGGTGAAGCTAAAGAAAAAGAGGATATAATAATAATAAAAAAAAAATTATCTTACTTGTACATTACCACATATTCTTTTTGAGATGGGTTGAATATATGATTTGGGTCAGCAGTCCAAAAAAAGGAAAGGGCTCATTTGAACATAAAATCTGAGCAGAGCCTAATTTGAAATCTGTTTGAATTGGTTCATGCCTTCATGGTTAATAAATTATTATCTTCAATCCTCACACTACACTACCTATTATTTGAGTGAATTTTGGGTACCACTGCCGTAGGTACACCCTTTTCCCATTTAGAAAATAACAAGGATATAAAGATAAAAAATAAAAAATACAGGATACATAAAAAAAAAACTACTCCCCGTTAAACCCGATTAACGAATGTGGAGTGAATTCAGTACCACCACCGTGGAAAGATACATATGGTATTAAAATTTTCTTATTTTGGAAAGATGAGGTACTGAATTCAGCACCATGTGGTATTCAAAATTTTCCCCTATTATTTGGGTGGTGGGTTTGTTGGCCTTTATGCAAGGCAACGCCAGCGAGCAAAAATTGGTCTATTGAACAAATTGGTTTGACAAGTTATGGGCCATGCTTGTGGTCTATTGTTCTTATTTGACTTTATAGGGATTCACTTAGCTTCCAAAGTTGTGATTCTTTTTTTGGGGGTACCTGAATGTCATGAGATTTTTAATTTACGTATTCCTACAATGCAAATGGGAATAAGTAGTATACTGGCCCAAACATGATGCACAAATTTGTTCAATAGTCCAAACCTATAAAAATGTTTTCACTGTTTTTGTGGGAAAGTCTTTGGTTCTAACTTGAGTAATGCTACTTGCTATAAAAAGACAGACATGTGGGTCTATATGAATTTATCAAAGGAAACAATTAGGTAGAACCACTTACATGGATACCAACTTGCCAAGGCTCAATTGTGTCCAGTTATTTATAAACGTAATAAGTGTGGAATAAGTGACATAGTTTGCTTAACTCATCATCAAACAGAAGAGTATAGGACTTGAAAATTGAATGAGATGGAAACGTAGATGGTCAGTGTCCCTACTTAGGTAGGGTAAAATTGGAGAGAAGAATCAATGCAGTTAGGCTGTCATAGTCCTGTGAGAGTTATAGCCACCAGGACAGAAAGCTTTGGATCCAAATCTTAGTTAAATCTCGTACATTTTGATGTGGCATACAATAGGCCTTTTTGAATGTAAATGTGTGACCCCAACACCAGCCTTTGCATTTTAGTACATAGGCCCACTTTAGTTATGAATCTAAGTTCATTCATCCTATCCTAATATGACCCTACGCTCATCTGCACACACACACACACAATCACATAAATACCACATATTCATGTGTTTTTTGCCCTCCACTGAGTTTTATGCAAATATTTATATTTCAGTAATTCATTCAAACAGGGCTATAATTTGAAATTCTCTTAAATAGACATATGGTTATTACTATTATTGTTATTTTGGTATTGAAATTGACATATAGTCATAAGTTTACACAATAAGACAATAAAAAACTGTCACTTAATCTGCCATTAGTTTAAGTTTGAAAAATTAAAGAGATCAACATAAATTTTCTTTAATCAAGTTCTGATAACTAAATCGCATGATTGTCACTTATGTAAAGATTAATCAAACCAAACGTAGCCTGAGTCGGAAGCATTACTGAGTGGCTGGTTACTTTTATAGAATTACTTATCGAGGAAAGTTATATTTACAAATTTTTTTGTTTACAAACTACGATTAGTATGACCGTTCATATTTCAATCAAGAGTGTATGACCGGTCATACTTAGTGTAATTTGTAAAAAAAATTATAAGCGGATTCTTCCCCTTATATATTTACACATGCGTGTATTCGTTTTTGTGTCAAATTTCAGCTAGAAATCAATTTTTATGAAGAAAAAAAAAGCTCACATCTTTCAAGAATAATTAAATGTTGTCAATGAATTCTTTTTAAAGGCATTAAAAAAATATTTCACCAAGAAAAACAAATACGTTTAAGATTCATAATGTTTGAACTTTGAACTAGAATTTAATAATTGAAATAAGTGCTTTAATTATTATTTTGAAATATCAGTTCTTTTTATTATACTTCTATATTAAATTTTTGGAAATAACTTAAATCTTTAAAATGTAAATATCTCAACGATATTTGAAAGTTCAAACACAGCACAGTGCATTAATTTTACTTGGGTTGTTTGTGGATTAGCAGTAGGGCAGGGTCGACATTAAAGAAAGTATATGAGAGAAGGAGTAGATGAAGAAGCAAGGTATAACCCGTGATTTGGTGGAAAAACTGTCACGTACGTCCAATTTGGTGCATGTGGGTGGGTGCAACTTGCAAGTACCCTTCATGAAATACTGGATCATCACCCTGACCAACCCTTCTCCAACTATATGCAATGGATTATCACTTTCAAGTTTAAACCGTTCCCACTTTTAACTTGCACCAGAACAAACAGTATCATTATCACTTTTATGTACGGCCTTATGTCAACCAAATTTTTTTTATGTTATCTACTTACCCTCGTGCAATTCTAAAAAACAAAAATATTTGAAAAATTCTTTGCTTGTGTACGATACTGTTTTTTAATAAAATATGGAATTTGCATCTATCATGTCACATGACACAAAAAAGTTTTTTACACACATAATATTTTGTGGGACCTGCACTTTTTAAAGCAAAAAAAAATAAAAAAAATTAAGGCACGCAAAACGAATCTCTATAACATTACACAATCATTTTTCCTACAACATAACTATTATAAAACCCTAAAAACATAGGAAAAAACAAGTATCATGTTGTAGGACAATCCTCTTATCATGCTATAAAGACAATAAGTGTGGGGTCCACCATGTTTAAAAAAAAAAAAATACAGCACAAATACCGATGTATGTATAGAAAACTTTACATTTGTCATACAACATGACAAATGCAAAACCCTAAAAACATAATAAGTTGATTATTTATTATATCTCAATAGTAAAAATTTAAAACATGAAAACGAGTGGATAAAAAATAACATATATTATATTTTTTATAAAAAAATAATATCACAATAAGCATTCTGAAAATTTTATCAAAGTTTTATCTTTTCCTCAAATACCTCCATCGTTGACTTAAAAAAGTGGAGGTGGAAAAAGTAGGTAACAGAGATAATCCAAAAGGATGGTGATGATACCAATACCATATTATTAATCACTTATCATTTTCATACACATCAACAAAGTAGACACCTAGTAATGACAGTCCATGACGTACGTGTATATTTCTATCATATTAGTTATTGCAATATATACATATATAATACATAAAAAGTTGGTCTAAATATACACAAGTATGAAGTGACGGAGGTAGAAAGAAATATTAATTGTTGTTGGAGGAACCAAGCATGCTCATGAAAATAAAATATTAAAAAGAAATTTGTAAAACTATTAGATTTTAAAAGCTCCATAAAGATCCACTAGGCGCCGTCCATGTACGTATATGGACCCAAATAAATAAAATAACTAATTGGAGTAGCCTTTAGAAACAAGTTACTATTGGAAAAGTGGGAATGAGAAAGAAGCAAATGAAAGCACTTATTTTTCAATAAAAAAAAAAAGTGGGGGGAAATTAAAGCACGAGAAGACATTAAATGCTTTATATATGTTAATTTATGCATGGTGTGTGCTCCAGGTAGCTAGAATGTGAAATATGAATGAGGTTATTATTATTATTATTATTATTATTACCTGAGTGAAGAAGACAAGGAGAGTGAGAAGTTTAACGGTTCTGAAAAACATCCTAAGGTGACGAAAGTAACCAAGAGCCCATGATTGCACAATCTCTTGGCGTTTCTGCAAAGACAAATCAGGATAGCTGCGGATGAAGGGAAACTTGGTTGATAGACACGCCATCCCACAGATAATGAGTGTCCCAAACAATGTAGAAAGTAACCATAACACCAACTTCAGTACCCCTGTCATTGGGTGTTTCAATCTCTCACATATCAAACCCCCAACCTGCCCATAACAAGAACAACCAAAACATTCATAAATTAATTAATATATATTTGTTATCAACACAATAATTAAAAGCAATATAACGATACAAATTAAATTAGAAGACTCTTTCTTCTAGCTATTTTTTCCATTAAAATAATAGTTTCCTTAAAAGGCTCATAATATATAATATCGAGGGATTAAATTGTAGTTTGTCATAAACTCCTCCAATTGTGATGATTAATTACATGACAAAATTGTAACCATCATGGCGTTTGACACAAGAAATATATATATGACGGTTACAATTGCAGTTGCAAATTATGATTTAGATAATATTACTTATAACAAGTGACTTAGAGAGAAAATAAAGGTTCGGTATTAATGAATCTTACACTGAACAATTTATAAAAAAGATTTATACATGCATGGAAAATAGATAAAAATAATACCGCAAAATCACTACTATATAAAAGCAAATTAAATTAGGGTTTCAGGATATATATTATAAATATAGAAATTTGAAGGAAATAAAATAAAAGGTAGGCGTACACGGTCAGGTGTTCCTGCCATGGAAGCTGAAATACTATAGAAGTTGGTGAGAGATTCATCGGAGGGGGCAACAAAGTCATTGAGAGAAGGTAAGATAGTGTCACAGAGAGCAGAGAGAGATTTCATTTGCCTGGGAGAGAGAGAGTTTGTGAGAGGTTGTTGTGTCTCTCTCCCTCCTCCACCGGCTAGTAGAAGCCTCTGTGTGTCAATACTACCAAGCTCAATCACTGTGTGATCTTTTGCTCCTTTCACTCCCAATCCCAACCTAAAACTACCCTTTCTAGAGCTACCATTTTTTATTAGGCTTCCTCCATTGTCCTCCATGCTTTTTTTTTGTTTTTTGTTTTTTTTTGTTTCAAAATAGCAAAGCTAGACTAGAAATGTCACAAAGTGTTGCTAGACCTTTGGAGTTTATATAATACCCATTTGAGGGATAACCATCCCCCAATTGTTTCATTTTTTAGGAAAATAAAAACAAAGGAAAAATGGGGGAAAAATTAATGAGGAATTTTTGTGTTTTTGGTCATGAAATAGGAAAATAGGTTGAGAGAGAGAAAGTGACTCGAAAAGAATAATTTAGTCTTTTTACTAATAATTATTTTTAATTTGGTTTTGGTTATGCTTGGTTTATATATTTTCATGGAATCAACTCTTCCAAAAATTTATTTTTTGGGCGAAGGCACAAGATACTGAACCCTTTTACTCAAAGGTCTTGTGGGTTTGAAAAATGGACAATATTTCCATGTCAACCACGTATTATTTTTAATCTCTTTATATGTGATAATTATTTTTAATTTGGTCCATATAGTTCATAATAATTCCATGTCAACCACGTATTATTATAAAGACAACAGGTAATAAATAAAAGATTAAAAATAATTGTATACATCAAAAACGTTTTTTTTTATAACAACACTAAATTAAAAATGAATGTAATGTATAGAAAAAAGTATTTTAACTTATCTTCAATTATTATTATTATTATGGATTCACTTTTTCTGCAGTTACTGCAGATAAGTTATCTGCAGTAAGCCAAATACGACATCGTTTTGGGATGAAAATCATGGTGTTTTTATAATTTTAATTTATTTCAGAATTATTATAATCTTTATAATTATAATTTTTTAATCTATCAATCCCAAAATGACATCATTTTGTGAGTAAATGTATAAAAATATTTTTCTGAAAAAGATTCTTAAGGATGAAAGAACGAGAGAGGAAGACGTGTCGATGACACGGAAACAAAATCATAAATTCGAAAGGAAAAAATGAAGAAAAAAACAAAAGAGGTTTGTGAAATAAATGCAACGAATAACGGTACGTATTAACTCTCTCATCTGCCACCATTTAATTTCGCGGGTTTGATTTTTATTCAACATATTAAAAAAAAAATATTGCCAAATTGATGTACTAATTATTTCCTTGGTATGGCTTTGCCGAATCGAGTGCTGGCCCAAGGCGAATTTTTTGTTTGGTTATAGAAATAATTGAATTAATAATTCATTCATTCAGGAAGGGGTTGGATTTATATATATCATATGCTACAAATTGAAGGTTCAATGTAAGTTATAGCCCAGTTGATATGTTTAATCCCTCAATCTTTTTCATCAATATATTACTTGTCAACCACTTATTTGCTTATTGCATTCATGATCCAACCAGGGCAGTAAGTAACTAAATAGCGTAGAGGTGTGAACTATTGATTATTCTGTTCCAAAAAATAACTTCACAATTCTTCTTCTTCTTCTTCTTATCTCATACTCTTTGGCTCTTATTGCCTGGTAAAATCATATAGTAGTTATGAATCAAGGATAATTCAGCTGATAAGAATTAAAATATTTCATTTCAAACTCTAGGTTTTGATTTTATTGTCATCAATCTATTATAGCAGTTAATTTGCAAGTATTTTCTTACGCTTATTAACACTAGTGGCTTATATTTGTTTAGTAAATATTACCTGCATTGTACTTATTATTTAAATCAAATATTTCTGATTTTGAATTTTTTATTTAATGAATGAATATTTAATTTTTTAATCTTAAAAATGTATAGTTAAAATATTTAAAAAATATATTTGTTTTATAATGTTGATCATAATTTTCATAAAGCATAATAAAAATATTTATATTTAAAATCAAATAATTATATTATTCGATTTTGTAATTATTATGATAATATTTACATGTGCTTTTTAACTTCTTCTTCTTTTTGTATCAAAAATGTGCTTTTTAACTTTATATATATAAAATAAGGGATAAGTTATTTTACCTACTTCTTTTTCTTTTTACCTTTGCCTACCACTATATTATATTTTAAATCAAATAATTATATTATTCGATTTTGTAATTATTATGATTATATTTACATGTGCTTTTTAACTTCTTCTTTTTGTATCAAAAATGTGCTTTTTAAATTTATATATATAAAATAAGGGATAAGTTATTTTACCTACTTCTTTTTTTTTTACCTTTGCCTACCACTATAAAATATCATTAGATCAGAATCTTAACAAATCTTTATCTTTCTCTCTCCTCTTGAGATTCTGTATCTAACGATGTTGGAGAATGATAAGCAAAGGTAAAAAGAAAAAAATGATAGATAGAATAACCTATCCTATAAAATAAAAATTCATTATATTTATCTTAACATGTTAATCGAATTCTCAGGACATGAAAATATTTATACTTCATTTTTTATTTTTAAAATATTTTTTAACTCCATCTTAATTACATTTTGATATTTTTTTAAAATATTATATAATAATGAGATATATACAAATTAAATGAAATTATAATATTATTTAAATTATTTTTTTAAGTCACTAGGATTGGTATATTAGTGAGGGGTTTAGGTAATTTGCTTAGTGCTCCTATTCAATCAATGTGTGTGTGTGTGAGAGAGAGAGAGAGGGGTATCCTTTTAAAGAACACGAGCTTGTGTCCTTTAAGTGACTTACGCACCGGTAAGATTTTATGTAAATCTGAAAAGTTTTTTTTTTTTTTCTCCTCAATCATATCGTTGACGTGTAAAGTGAAAAAAGTAACTTTTCAGATTTACACAAAGTCTTATCAATAAGATTGTGTGTAATTCACTAAAGGACACAAGCTTGTGTCCTTTTAAAGGACATCCACTAAACCCTATATATATATATATATAATATTATGTCATTTTTTTTTTGATAACAATATTATGTCATTTTAGATCATAACCGTTGATTTCTGTCCATCAACGGTTATAATTTATTGGATCAAACTTAATGGGCCAAACTTATTATTAATTAATTAATAATTTTGATCAAATAAATTATAACCCTTAATGGACGGAAATCAACGGTTAGGATCTAAAATGACATATGATTATATTCTTTAAAAGTACAGATGTTATTTCTATATATATATATATATATATATATATATATATATATATATATAGGCAGGATATTCTTACACCCGTGTAAGAGGTAGAAGTCTTACTCTCAATCTTGACCATTGATCCATTTGTATCCAATGACTTATATTACTAAAAAATTAGATCTCTTAGATATAAGTAGGATCAACGGACAAAATTGAGAGTGTAACTTACACTGGTGTAAAATGATCATCACCAATATATATTATATATATATATATATATATATATATATATATATATATATTAGTGTTAATGGTGGTAGTGCAAAATTTGTGATTTTGGTAATTATGGTATTAGTGAAATCATAAAGATCAGATGCAATCACGGAAAATTAAAATGTAATATGCAAGGCATAAAAGTTGTAGAAAATGAAACCCGAGCCCAGTATTAGATACTGTGTCCTTAAGAAAGTTTTGCCCCCTAAACAATGCTTAAGGTTCGTGGACAAATAATGTCTCCCAAGATAAAACGGATTACCTCTATTTCGATGGTTGCACTATTAGAAGAAACAACACCGACAAACATAATGAACGCTAATGAATCGTACAGAATGAATGCAAAAGATTTCAAAAATCATTTTGACATAGTTTCGTTAGAAGAGATAAATCAGGTATTACAAAAAAAAAAAAGATAAATCAGAAAAATTATATTATATTCTCTAACACACCCCCTCACGCAAGAACCCTTTTGATTTGAAGCGTGGATATGGCACAAGCCCATTATTGGTATGCCTTGTGCCCCTCACGCAAGAACCCTTTGGACTTGAAGCGTGGATATGACACAAGCTCATTATTGGCCTGCCTTATGCTGCACAAGTCCCTTTTTTTTGTCTGCCTTGTGTTTTTTTTTAATTCCACCTGAAAGTGGGGGGCGGTGAGATTCGAACTTATGACCTCGTGGTCGTCTGTGAAGCTCTGATACCATGATAAAGAACCACTTCAACCCAAAACCTTAAGATATTGAGTGAGGGCCTTTTTAATGATTTATATTATATTATCTAGGGAAAACTTCAAAAATTCCCCTACAAGTTTTTTCAAAATCACTTAACCCCCTCCCCGAAATTTTTAATCATTTACCCCCTACTCAAAATTTTTTATCACTTACCCCCCTAATTTGATTTTTTATCCAAAATTTTGTTCAATTTTTTAAAAGGTACCAGAATTACCCTTAATAGAAAAAAGAAAAACATAATTTCCTCACAAACTACTTTGTAACTAGTTTAATATGTCTTTTTAATTTAAGGGACGATTGCTTAATTTTAAGCTTGCAAACAATTGCTTAAATTTAAGTTTTATATCAAATCATTTATTATTATTATTATAACGATGAGGTATTCTCACTTAGTCCCCCTAAATCACCTTGTGGTTCGAGAATTAGCTATGATAAAACATAAAGTTTTTTAAAAGGTACCAATTGTTTGCAAGCTTAAAATTAAGCAATCATCCCTTAAATTAAAAAGACATATTAAACTAGTTACAAAGTAGTTTGTGAGGAAATTATGTTTTTCTTTTTTCTATTAAGGGTAATTTTGGTATCTTTTAAAAAATTTAACATGATTTTGGATGGAAAATCAAATTAGGGGGTAAGTGATAAAAAAATTTTGAGTAGGGGGTAAATGATTAAAAATTTTGGGGAGGGAGTTAAGTGATTTTGAGAAAACTTGTAGGGGTTTTTTTGAAGTTTTTCCTATTATCTAACATCAAATTTAGGTCAAAAGAGTTACAGACCGCAACTCTCCTTTTACTAATCATACACTTTTGAGCGTGTACGAGCAACGCAACTTACAACATATTCAGTTGCGAATTAAAATCATGCAAAGTGGTGTTTAGAATTTCACTGGCCTAAATATGGTTTGATTATGTACCAAAAAAAATATATATATATATGGTTTGATTGCAATTAATTGAAATAATAAACGTTGTTTTCAGGATTTGACTTGCCATCACACGATGATTTGA